AACGTCGTGCTCAACAACCCCTGCAATCGCTAGCCAGATTGGATCAGACAATCCTCGAAATATAAGTAGTCTATCAAATATATCTTCGAACCTCCTCGCTTCTGTCTTTTTATTTCACTTGGTGGGTACGATTCATAGTAGGTTTTACTGGTTAAAGCGTTGTCAAACTTCGGATACCTGTATCATCTTTAGCTACATTGTGCTGATAATGTTTCGGCTCAGTCGGACGATTCCCAGATGCAGATGTATCAGATAGTAAAGTTTCCTTATCTGTTCATTACGTAGTTTCAGGGTCTCCAAAGATAACTCGTGCTGAAGATCAGTGTCTTTTTTTGAATCTGGGCACGTTTGAGAAGGTTGATTCCATGAGAACAGTTCCAGGGAGTTATATAAGACAAGGCTCCTGCGACTACATTATTTGCTCAAGAAATTTGTTGTATATTTGAGGTAGAATGAGGAATGTAGACCAGTTGTTGAGACTCAATTAATTATGAGGAATTCGGTCTTGCTTTGTCATCCAAACTGATGGATTAAGCACTTCCAAGAAGTTGGTCTGTTAAGGGCCACATGAGGGACGAGAGATTCCGCATGAATCGTTGATAAAAACTTGCCAGGCTGTTGAACGTACGTAATTGCTTGAATGTGGTCGGTTGTGTGCAATCCATAGTGACTATCGCTTTAATGTTCAGAGGGTGAATGCCTTGATCACCAATAGCATGATCGAGAAAATCTGGTTAGTCAGTTTCGATCTGAAATTTATGAATTTTTACAATTGCGAGGACGGTCCACGGGTGAACTCGAGTAAGCTTCAAGAAGCTCAGGAAGAGTCGAAGGGATTCCATCCAATCATCTATCGGAAGAATATTCCGGAATCCCTGTAAGTAGCTTCCCCATTGGACAAGTGCTAATAATCCGTCTGTATGCTAATTGAATGACCATAATGCTGATTTCATTTTTACTAAAAACTATAAATGCCTGACAGTTTTGTACTTTACTTAACACTATTAGGAATATTATTCGTTACAATTGTCTTCCGTCTTCTCGTTTGCGACTTGGGAGGGTTCTAGCGTCTAAGTGCCCAAGTTATGCGCAACTCTCGATATAACAACAGTAATACCGTGTTTTTGCAGCTGTTTGTAGACATGGTCTAGATGCTAGGGATGAGATTCTTTGTCCGAACTTGCAATCAAGGAAGCATTTGTTAAGACCGAAAGCATACGCGAAAATGTTTGGTCCAAGGAGGTGTTGATTGTGGTCTTAGTAATGTCACCAACAGCCATGGGAATTTGTCTATACGCTTTTCGAAAAATGAACAGTTATACCTTTCAAAGTAGCTCTTGGATCGTGAACGTGAGACAACGGGTAACGATCACGAATCGTTTTCGCGTGTAATCGCCGATAGTTACCAGCCGTACGCCGATCATTGCTGTTATTTTCAGGGACCATGTACAAGGGGGATGCTCATGAGTTTTCCGACCGCCAAATGACTCCTAAGTCACGGGCATAAATTCGTTTTGGGCCAACCTTAGAACCATCAAGGATATGGGTGATCATGTAGTCGTGATGTGATGTGCAAAACTGCTTACATATGACAATTTGGGTTGTCTATGCTATATCTCAGGGTACTTATCGAGTGTTTTCTGGTAGTATGGATCTATTCTGTCCCTTACTGTAACTAGGGATAATCTACAACTGGAATAATTTTCACAAATGGATGCTTCAGTGTTTCTATTTGTTAACTCGCGTTTGCGCGTGTCGATGAGTAGATTATGATGTTGTTGCAGGTTTATACCAATGACTAGCATAGAAACATCTGCAACAACGAAGATCCAGTTGACGGGTTTGTGTAAACCCACTTTATTGTGCACTGTATAACTCATCATATATGGCGGTCGCTTTCCTATTTACCGCCTGTAAGTTGAAATCTTCGTCGTGCAGTTGATCGTTAGAATTTGCAAGACTTCTGCGCCAGTTTCAGTGAAGTAGCGAACGTTCGTTTTCACACCGTTGACGCATAATAAACGAATATGCTCGCCGGTTACTGTTGTCGTTAACGCGTGTCGACTGGGAAGTCTCACGAAACGTTGTTCAAGTTGGATGGTTTGGAGCTCGGAACACTGCAGGGTTTTCTACATTTTCGAGAGGATTTCCCGTATTCACTGAATTACCAGAAATAATCCTGGTTATCGTTCTCTCGTGATCTAGAGACAAATCGTTTTCGTGAAAAATTCTGAGGTTTTTGGGGCTGTCCATAGTCGTGACGAATACTAAGGTGACATTTTAGAGTGTAACGGAGTTCTGTGACATCATTTCGTATCATTTAAGGCTTTTATTTATCTGAGTAGATTTCGGTGCTGGGATTTCTGGTGCGCTCCAGAATCTGGTCGGCAGATGCTTCCAGTTCGTCTATAAAGTTTTTTTGAATTTAGTCAAGAACCTCCTGCACCTGGTAGGGAAGCTTAGGCAAGAAGATCTGTCTAATCAGCCCCTCGTCAAATGTCCGTTGACTAATGACTTGCATTCGTAGAAACGTGTATGTTGCTGAAGCATGTTGTAGACCGATGTTGCTCTAGAGTTGACCTAATCTTTGTCGGTCGGTTAGATCTCCGCGTTTAAGAACAGCCATTTTTAAAGTCTGGAAGGATTCCGAAGCATCACTGGTAAACATGCTAGGTGGGACGTATCCGTCTAAATTGCGTCATGGTGCTTTCATTAATATCAGCTATTGAGCAGCAGAACTGTAGAATTGTGGCCTACTTTGTTATTAGTACTGCTCTAATAATAGACCTAATCCTAAAATTGTAGATTTGTCATGTGACAAGTTAATCTATAAGATTTTACGTGGAAGTCATATCATTGTCTACACTGACTCATCGTATCTAACAATCGCCAATATATGATGGAGGACGAATAGGGACTGAAGACAGAACAATAATTTTAATACGAATAAAAGTGATAAGTTACACAAGAGTGACCACGCCTGCAAAGCTGATTCATGCCACCCAATTGAATTCTATTAAAAGTTCCTACGCTCTCCATTGTTAACCGTCTCTTTTTGTTAACTACAGAATATAAGTCTTTTCAGTAATTATATTCTCGGCTTCAAAGATCGTGTGGTTACGGCCCAGTCCCACTACGGAATCAGCTCCGCGATCACTACGACTATTATTAGCTTACTTGTTTCACCCATATTATGTGTAATATATATAAAATAAATATGGCCTTCTGTAACAAAAAGCGCACTTCAAATACTCGGATACATATTTCATGGAACAAACAATTCGGTGATTTTTTAACCAACGTTTGAATTTCAAGTGTACAAGGTTATAGTGACCGCCTGCTTCAAAAGTTTTTGTTCAGATGCATTTTCTGGGCTTGCCGCAAAGTCGTGTCGGTGAGGGTTGTATAGTTTCTCAACATGATCTTCTAACGACCACTTAACTTTATACAGGCGCAGACGTTCATCTCTAAGTGTTTTCATTTGGTAAGTAACCAAAGGGAACGGGATGAGCTATATCAATTGATTAAAGTTGGTCATGCATACGTTAGCGACAGATCTCGATTGTACATTCAATTATTATAACTTTTTTCGGTTGCTACGCATGTGGTGTATGCAACAATTCAGCTTTTATATCATTATAAGGCATTTTGTTTTCTGGAAACTACTTTTATTCCGAAACATCATGTAGTATCCTCAGATTAAAATGTGATTGTGAAATATTTCTTGTAGAGAGATGTCGTTAGGCATTATGTAGAGCTCTTCATTTATTGTCAACCGTTATCTAAACAGAATGTCCAACTTTCGATGGTAAATAAGTTGGATGTATGACTAAGATATATGTCTCTATACGTTAATCTGCGGTATTTTTCAGTCAAAATTTGCAATTGTAATGTCACAGATCTTAGTGTCAAAGATTGACTTGTCTGGGGTTGAATTCCACAATATGTGTTTTTATAATAACATTCGTTCCATTTCTGTTTGTGACTGATCCTTTCTGCATGCTCTTCTGATCCCTATAAGAGGCTATTCATGTTCACCTTCTTACGCGAAAAGTATTATTGCCCTGCCACAAGCATATCGAGCTTAGCACGATTATATATCCCGATGCATATCACACGCTTCAGACGTTACCATCACATTTCGGAATTTATAATTATAACTGCGAAGTAAATGTAGTGGCGTTACTACAGTGTTTGCAGTTACCTAATTCTGTCTGATCATACTTATAAAAATAATCATACAAAGCAGTGACTGCAGTGTTAACTTTTGGAGTGACTTGGAATTGACTCAAAATTAATGCATTCAGGAAGAAGTGAATCATTTAGCGAAAGAAACTGAAAACCTCGCTTGGTGGTTTCATGTCTTTTTGTAGCTGTTCCTAGTTTCCTTGATCACTCCTACACCAGCATAAGTGATACCAAGGTTCTGTATTGTGTGTTTTGGTGCAGTAGCATTTTCATGACCCCGAAATGGTGTTATAATATTTGTACATTCAAACAGAAATAGAAATCTAACTGGTGTTGTAGATTGTATTTTATTTGAAGATTATTTCACAATTTAGGGAACATTGCTTTCTCTTTGTTATCTTAAAAAAACTTGTAAAAGGTAGAATTTTGTGATCCTGGTGCACCATAAAAGTAATCAACTACTGTAGATATTGATTCAGTCTGTTAAACTACTAGTGAATTGAACTATTAGAGTGTATTGTAGTCGATCCACATGTACTGGTTAGTTTTGTAAACACCTGCGTAGACGTAGGTTCGTAAAACCAAAAGCAGTTATTTACCAGATTGTTTTCATAGAAAATTTTGTCGTGTTTTTGGTTGCTTCACCTATCTTGTTCTAGAGGGAAGCTTCAGCCAACACACTTGAGATTAAATTTCACTGTTTTGGCCAAACAAACCTATTTACCATATATGTATTGTAGTTTCAGTTTTCACGATCAATAAAGTATACATTCTTCCTTGCTACCTTTTTACTTGTCCGAAGGTCAGGTGTTATGGCCACCACTACTACTGCTCCTGATGTTACCTACATTTCTATGATTGGCTTTTGGATTATGATTTTGTCTTCGAGTGTGTGCGGAACTTTTGGTAAGTTAATGTATTATTTATTTATTTAAACACAAACACTGGCACGAAAAGAAACCAAATATATGTGCGCCACACTTCGTCAAACAATTTGTGTGAGGTCTGGAATACTGATTTTGGGCCCAAATCGAAGCAGATGGTTTTCTTAGAAAGCCACTGTCCTGTTAGAGGGGTCTATCTTATTTTTCCCTGAAAATCGAGTCAGGGCGTCTGTATTAGGTAGTTTTAGTCGGATTTGTGGTGTTAATTATAGTCGTAATTAGTAAGTTCCATCGCAACAAAACTAAATTTGTTCTATTTACCCAAAGTAGTAAATTATCTGGATGTTAGATAACCCTTGGATATTATTTGGTTCCAATAAGTTTTATGTTGTGTAACTAAGCAATATTTATTGAATTTCATACTTTCGTACTTAGAAAAGGGATTCTTTCAATCAGACTGGATGGTATAGATTATGATTATACGGACAGTCGTTCTGTCTTTCTACACATCGTTAACTCTACGAACTCCAAGTGGATTAAATAAGTTATTAGGTTCAAACTATATTGTGTCATTTAGTCTTTTCAGTTGGTCATCATTTTTTTTACTTATTTCAATTGCTTACTTTTCAATACACAGACTGCGACTTGTTCATTTTCAATATTAAAATATCACAATCAAACTATCATTAAACTCATCATCTAATTTATTTCAAAATAGTTTTCCTCAGTAACTAACATGAATGAAACCAGCGGTTTAAATTAAACTCATATTAAACCAAAGCTATTTGTCATACTAGATGCCAATGGTAATTACATTGAGGGGTATAAATGATCTTTTCTCTTTTCAAGTTAAATGAATAAGAAAGCAAGAAATTGTTGGTATTCAACTAACCAACAAGAATATAAACTTTGTCATACTCCAAAAGGGAAGATATTATTTATATTACACACTAACCACATAATTACTCAACCGAATGAAAAATACATCAAGGTTGTAAGTGATTCATGTGAATAATTCAATAAAGTGATGATTATAAATTAATTACTTGTCAAACAAGTTTCATCTATATGATTTTGAACTAAAATTTAGGGCTAGCAATAATATCCAACTGCTCAACACGGAAGTAGATAAAACTGGATTCCCATATGCTAGTTACTGGTTAAAAGTCGTATTGTGATCACTGAACCGTCACTTAATTAAAATTTTGGTATTAATTGATGCTACCAGTGTCTGTTAATAGCAACTAACTTTTACCAAACCTTAACCATTTCATCTAATTTTGGCTTATTTTTAGGGTATCGCTGTCCTCTCTAAGATCGCTCAACATTTTGTAGTTTATTGTTCATAATTTCAATTTATCGCTACGAGTATTCATTCGTAATCTGAAGACGTATTAATTTTAATTTTTCATTGTCTTTCACAGCCGATCTTATTTTATCGTATCTTCGTATCGAAAACTTAGTTTCCTATTCAAACTTAGTAGCTAGGTACAAATTTATATACTCGGCTTCGGGTTACTTTTTGGATTGAGGACTAGTGATACTACTTAGTTACCCATCTAAAATTAGTTTAAATTCGAGACCTGGATAGTAGCCAAATGTTTTATGTACCGATGAGACTGCTTCAGAATATTAAGTAGTAATTAGTCATTTTTCCATCGTGACAGTTATACAACAGGGTGTTAGGCAAAACTATATCGTGAAATAGCTCTTTATGGTATATTAATAAACTTTAAAATACTAGAAATTCCTATATTGTGAATTAAAACAACATATCTAAGCAAACATTATTCTTTCAATTAGATCCTTATCAGGGTTTACTCTAATATTCAGTAATATTTATATACATGTCCGAAAATATTAATTTAATCAAGGAGGTTTATGGGTCAGTGATAACAGTAGAATAGATTACGTAAATAAATAAGTAAAAATTACAAATTAATAGGGATGACTATTTTAGTAGTTGTGATAAGAATAGTAAAAGCTTGATTCAATATTTCATAATAGGAAGTAGATCAGAGACTTAAAATTGTAGACGCTGAAATCGAATACTTGGAAATTATCAAAATTGCGTAATTAGAATTTTTCAAATAATTAGGCGGTAAAGCGTATGTTTAAAAAGTGGGTGAAGGAAAATAAATGGTTAAAGAGCACAGAAAATCGTTCGTTAAGGCCAATTCGATCAATGAACACAAAACATTGGATTGTTTTCTCGAATCCTTATAGCTTCTGTCATATACAAGAGACAAAATCTAATTAAAAATAATTTTTTGCTTATATATGTTCTGATTCATCGTGTTAACAAACTATTGATTGCCTTTAAAGAAGTCATTATTCAAATTCGTAAGTTTTAAGAGTCTTTGGGTTGAATCTCTAGAACAACTGTTAATAAATAATTCTGAAAGAAATTTTATACCCTAGTTTAACTGCTATTTTCCATAATGTCCGACTATTTTTCTTCCAGTAAATATAGACCTACAACGAGACTAGTTTGAAATTTATTTGTAGATTTGTATATTCATATAACCTCAATTTACCGACATATCCCTCCCCCACAGTAAAGTGTAGAAGGTCCTCAAACTCAACACGGGGAACACCAACCTAATCACACTTGATGAAAAAACTCTGGAACAGGTGGAAACGTTCACGCACCTGGGCAGCATCATCGATGAGTGTCGATGATCCGATGCAGACGTAAAGGCGAGGATTGGCAAAGCAAGGGTCGCATTCCTACAATTGAAGAACATATGGAACTCAATACAACTTTCAATCAATATCAAAGTCAGCATCTTCAATACGAACGTCGAGGCAGTTCTACTGTACAGAGCTGAAACTTGGAAAACTACAACAACCATCATCAAGAAGGTGCAGGTATTTATAAATAGCTGTCTACGCAAGATACTCAACATCCATTGGCCGGATATCATCAGCAATAGCCTTCTGTGGGAGAGAACAAACCAGCTTCCAGCTGAAGAGGAAATTAGGGGAAGACGATGGAAATGGTTAGGACATACACTACGCAAATCGTCAAACTTCACCACGAGGCAAGCGCTAACTTGGAATCGTAAAGGGGAACGGAAAGGAGGAAGACCGAAGAACACACTGCTGAAAATTGGAAGCACATATGAAAAGGATGAATAGCAACTGGAAAAAATTGCTTAAGACAGAGTTGGATGGAGAACGCTCCTCCACGAGGGGTAACAGGTGTAAGTAAGTAAGCACAGTAAGGTGTAGGGTCCTCTCGTAATAAGATAATTAAAATCTGGGCGATCCGGACATATTGGACATTTAATCTCCGATCACTGTAGGCTGTTTGTTCTCTCATATAAAAAAGGATCAAAATCCTGTGTTAACCATGGGTGGATTGTTCCAACTAATATAGCGTCTAAAATACCAGCCTCAATAATTATCGCGCGCCTAACAAAGATTCGTGAACTGCAAACACGAGAAAATCAGGCTGGCTTCAGACCTGGTCGTGGTTGCATCGTCCACATATTCACTATTCGTCAGGTTATAGAACACAGGCACGCTTATCGACATCCGATAATGATAGTTTTTCTTGACTTAAAAACAGCATTTGACTCTGTAGACCGAGAGGTTCTGTGGCAGTGTCTGTTATTGGAATGTGTACCTCAGAAGTACATAAACCTTGTGAAGGCTCTTTGCTCGAACACTACTAGTCTAGTGAGAGTTTATGGCGAACTGTCATCTGCTTTTGCAACCTCAAGTGATGTCCGGCTAGACTGTCCACTATCTGCATTTTTGTTCGATTTCATCATAGACCTACTGCTGGAAATAACACTTTCGTCGGATGGATTTTCGGGCACTGATCTCCTTCCAGGAGCTTCACTTATCGACTTAGAATACACAGACGATATAGTCTTGTTTGGTGAAAACTCTGATAAAATGCCGAGTGTTTTGGTAGCACTGAGCAACAATGGCAGGATGTTTTGGATGCGTTACTCCTTCGCTAGGTGCAAATTGTTGCTTTAGGACTGGTATGCGTCAACACCTGAACTGAGGATAGGAAGTCTGACCAGCCGTAATGGGTTGGTGTTTGACGAAATCTCATCACGGATTCAGAAAGCTCGTTTGGCTTTTACCAACTTACGTCACCCATGGCGAAGGCGAGATATCCGTCTATCAATTAAGGGACGAGTATACTTCGCGGCAGTTCGTTCTGTTCTACTTTACGACTGAGAAACGTGGCCGTTTAGGGTAGAAGATACTCGTAAGTTACTGGTATTTGACCACAGATGCCTTAGAAATATTGCTTGCATCTACTGGGATCACTGGGTAAGTAATATTGAGGTTAGACGCTGGGTATTAGGAAATGATGGTAAAGCAGTTGGTGAGGTTGTGAATCTTCATTGACTGAGATGGTTACATACGCCTGAACACCGACCACTACGATGCGCAACGCTGACTAGTGTTGTAAACGGATGGAAGAAAGTTGGGGGGCGACATAACCAGAACGTGACATCAATCCATAAAGTTACTAACTTGTGGTGTGAGCCATGTTAATAGTAGTGGACTAATTGGTTGGGGTCTGCGTGACATGGCTGAGAATCGATCACAATGGCTTAGGTGTTTGTTGTGACTTCAAGCCCGGCTAATTATCACGTGACTTGTTCGCCAATCTTTGCACTGTGCCAAACCAATGACGCTCGACCAGTATCAGCAGCCTATAATCCTTATTGGTCCTTTGTCCTCTTAGCCCTGCCATTTGAGTTCAGAACACCAATACCAACTTCCACTATGTAAATCATTTATTTCAAACATACCTGGTTTATATACAGGCCAAACAGAACACATCACACCATAAAATAGGGAATAACATTTTTACAAGTTCAAGCCAAAAAGTGGTTGTGAACGTGGGACGTTAAAATGAAGCTTATAATTAGAGGAATATAAATATACACAATCTAGTTACTAAATAGTTATATATATATATATATATATATATATATATATATATATATATATATATATATATATATATATATATATATATATATATATATATATATATATATATATTAGTCCTTTAATAGTTCTCAGAAGTTATCCATAATCTACTAGGATATAACAGGGTGTACACTCTTTGTTTTCTCTCAAACTATGGGATTTAAGTTAATTTATACTTTTATTTCTATGGACTAATTTTTTCTCCCTGTATCAAATCCTTTATGCAATCTTCTTTATATATTACTATAATTGAAGTAACTGCTTCTATGAATTTGGTGTTCTTGTTGTAGCGATAATGAAGTATGGTGACTTGGACAGATGCATATATGTGCCTGGTCCTACAATGTAACTGACTGATTGTTTGTAGTATTTTAGTTTTGGTATTTCCCAACAATAATTAAGATATCACCATACAAATTAAGATGTCTTATAAATTCCTGTCTCTCTACAGACATATACTTACCATACGAATGTACAGTTTAATTAAATGATTTCATTTGAAAGGAAAAATTTTTCACTACATTCTCTTCATTTTATTCAATGATACAATGGGTTACTTTAATTGAATTCATATAAAATGATAGTCACTATAGCTGTAAATTGATTTCAGTTGTAAATTTCACTTTTTTATCATTTCCTAGAGTCATGGTTAGTATAAATTTATATATTCTACTAATTGTTCACCAAAGGAAAACAAAATGGGAGAAATTCCGGTCGATTTTGTTTTTCAACTTTTTGTATTTTTTGCTTTTCAGTAGTTTTTCTTTCTCGCTCCCATTCTCTTCTTATTTATCGTTTTTTTTGTCTGTATATGGGCTCTAGGATGTTTTTATGTGTCTGTATTTATGTTTTTGTGTGTGTCTGTATTCATAAATGCGCGTAACGCTTTCTATAGTTTACAGCTTATTTATTATTAAATGTACTTCTGTGGGATGTAGATATGCCTTTGTTTCAGTAATAATAATAATAATAATAATAATAATAATAATAATAATAATAATAATAATAATAATAATAATAATAATAATATACTAACTAATGACAACTATAACTGCCCATTTTTTCTGAATTACCATTTTATTATGCCTATCTGTTTTCTTCCTGTTTCTCCTTTGCATACGCTCTCTCATATCTGACTCACTGCTTGGTTAAATTTTTCACTTGTGATATCATATGGACGTACGTATATGTTTACCCTAACAACATGAATTGATTAGTTTTATTATATAGTGAGGTGATAATTGTTAATTATTTCTGAACATTTCTAGTTCAACTTTGAGCGGTTTGCGTTAAGTTTCATAATGTCAATGATAACTCAAAATGTTTGTTACAGTTGATTTGTAATTAAATGGGGGTTAGAGTTGTTATTATTATCACTACCTTTGACTATGTTATCTTATATTTTACCAATTAATAAACGAACTACCATGAAATAAACATACTTGAAAGTGTCTTGTTGGATAAAATCGTAGTATTAGCAATTCTATAGTTTCTGTTACAATTCTTGACGAAATCTATCATCGAATTTTAATGGTGTTGTGCTGTATAGTTTTATTCTACCATAATAACAAGTAGAATTTCATTATTTCAACTACTGTTATCAAATAACCGTTTAATATAACATTTTTGTGTAATTTGTTGATCTACTCTTTTCAAAATTCTTAATTAATTGATTAATTTCACTTTTCTTTCATTTTAACAGTTTTACCTGAATTCCAATCGGTTCCTGAATCAGTTGTTTATTATGCGACAAATGATCCTATCAACAAGATTTTGAAGATCTGTTGTGATATTTGGCCGAAATGGCCTTTAGGAAGCTTAGCCTATTATTCAACGTATCATTTTCATCAATTATCTGATAATACTTCTAATCAACCATTCAAAACAATAACAGATAAGATTGCTCATCAGAGAACTATTTATCATGTGCCTTCTAATTTTACATGTGATCTCCATTTATTCAATCATAATAATAACAATAAAACATTGAAATCAAAGAATTGTCTTTGTTTTTCAAGTGTTACTAGTGTTGAATTGTTTTCAGGTGAAAAGTTTTATTGTTTGGCCAGTACTGATTTTGGTTCAATTATAAGTAAACCATTTCAAATAGCATTAAAATGTGAGTTAATTTCTTGTTTTTTTTTAAATATTCGATTAGAATTTTAATAAACTGTGATACACAGATAGTTATTGTGTTATATAACTAGTTTTACTGATGTTAACTTATTCTACACTTTGTATTTAATCAAGTAATCTAAAATGATATGTGAATAAATCTATCTTGATTGATACATAACTTCATGCTATTAGTTCCCTTTATGAATTTAAATAAAGCAAGAACAAATATTGATTCAGAATAGTAAATGACTACAGAATAAGATAGAACGTTATATTGTGTAAAACAATTAAACATTTTTATACACTTCAGAAATCTATATATTTATTATTCAGTAATTTATCCACTATCTATTATGTACTTCATGTTTAAACAAATGAGTAAACACTAGAATATATTATTATTTCGAATAATAATACTAGTAATGGTTTTCAGTAATGTATTTCGTTTAGTAATAATAAATTTTCTTGGCGAAAAAATGTTTAAACGTTATGATTTCTTTGAAAATTTCTGTAATATTTGGGTCCTAGGGTTAATATGTATTTTGTGAAATATTTGTCATGTCATCAAATTTTTGTGAGGGTTGTGATACTGCCCGGGTGCCTAAACCGAAGCAGGTGGTGATTTAATGCATACATTTTCAAAATGATTCGTTCTTGATATCACTTAATTTGATATTTTCTCTGTAGAATTATTTATAACCAGTGTTATTATTTGTTTAGTAATTTCAGTGCTATAGGTAGATAAATATTTAGTATCAGAGGGGGTTTTGTGGAGATTGTAGTAATTTCAATAGTTGTGATCATGAGTCAATTGAAGCTAGACGACCATGGAAAACCTGGAAGCACTGGACGCCCGTTTCATTCTATAAATATTTAATGGACAAAAAATTTTTTCCCATTAAATTTTCAATCAGTAAAACAGTTAGACAAATATTCTGTGTACATTTTTGGGCAGTTTATCACTTTTAATAATAATATCAGTAAAATGTGAAAGAATGAGTTTAAAATATCAAGAATAAGTTAGTAAGTATTATTGACTAAAGATGAACTGATCACTTTTCTTAATATTTTGATCAGATTTGTTCATATGGATTAATCATGAAAAATTTAACTATCTGTGATTAATACATTTGTTAACTGTAGATTCTTTTTCACTAAATCTTCTTCATCACCTATCATAAAGATTAGTTTTGACGTTTGCTGTTACACTTGCATATTTAACTGTCTGATTAATGAATTTTATCAGTATAGGGTTGTGGAGATTATTAAGTTTTGATTGAGATCATGAACCGATTGATGTTAGACCACCATTGAAAACCTGGAAGCACTGGACGGCCGTTTAGTCCTGTTGTTAGACTCTTTAGCAGTATACATCCACAATCCCGCTCGCGGGGTTCGAACCCAGGGCCTTCAGTCTCGCAAGCGAACGCTTAACCTACTGGGTCACTGAGCCGGCATCCAACGGTGTTAATGAATTTTACATAATTCTAACCAATGGAGATAGTATATAGAAATAGTCAGAATTGGTCTCCATGATACTTGTACACTGATCCATTAATTTTCCATATTCTTTTCGAATCTTCAACATACAATATTGTATATTTTTCATTCTTTAGCGTTATTCCCGTGGTGAGTTTAATCTATACACATATTCACTAGGTTCTCCATTGTTTATGACTGATCAGGTTACTGACTGTGTTATTCTTATTTTGAGTTGTTTTGATGTTTAATCTTCGAGTACCATTATTATTATTATTATTATTATTATTATTATTATTATTAACAGTTTATTTCTAGGTTTTCTACCTGCTGTTTATCCTTCCTAGCTGTGTTAATATTTGTGAAATTAACGGCGACTTGACCTGACACAAATTTGTTTCACGTTTTACGTTGTTGTTGTTGTTGATAAACTTAAATCAATATAGATGTCTATGAACACTGGAGACTAGAATATGCAAATTGATTTGCTAATTAATGACTAATTCATTTTTCTTCAAATTTTTTAATATGGTTATATGCTTGTTTTAATTAATTCAATATTCATTTTACCTTCTCATCATTTTAATGATTGTAATTTATGGAATAGTTCACTTGACTGAATCAACATTGATCAAATAATTCATAAAAAATATTATTATTTCGGAGAAATAACTTCATGGTAAATTAAATTATGACTATTATTGTATATATATATATATGTTTACAAGGTTTTGCCATGGAAAAATACTCGTAAGATTAGTATTTTGAATATGTTTATTTTAATGTCTTGTTTTTTTTTTGTTTTACATTTAATAAGAATTAATCTTAATAGTAGTATGATGTAGAAAAAAAACTCTTCTACACTTGTATTTTCATTTACTTTTACACACATGTACTTTGTATTTGATACGTAATTATGTTTCTGTTTTATTATTCTGACATAAAAAGACCACTATATGTATGATGTGTATTGGTTATATTTGAGTGTTTGTTAGTATGTAAGAATTAAGTGTTTGAATAATGGGTGTATGTGTTGGTGAGTGGATTGTACATGGAATGTCATGATTACTACTAATGAATTCGGATTCTATTAATGAAAAACTATGTAATCAGTGTAATTCACTTTATACTATAACAACTATTCACATACCATTGTTTTCTAATGTAGATAATGCAATAGTAGAGTCGCGTAAATTTTTGTTTATGTTTAGTTACAAAACGTTCTTTCATAGTGATAGAAATGAGCTTATAGTATACTCTGCACAGCTGGAAAGTGATATATTAATTATATCTATTATTCCAACGGATATTAGTTTATGACTACAATAATTAATTAAGTTGGCTTGATGGTACATTTGAATATCAAGTCCCCATCTTGATTATCACCGACTAACTGTTCGATTAAGAAAATTAAAATGATGAATATTCCTTAACCCCATCACCACTCTTTTAAATACTTTCCCACGCTAGTTATTTTTTCTACTTTTTACTAAAGTTTTGTTTTGTTTAATAAAATGTTTTTTAAATTAATATCCAATAGCTGAAAATGCATTTATTCGTCAGAAACTGGTTTATTATTTCGGGAATATTGCAATTCTTCCTTGTAATTTGGAAAAAATCTATTCATCCGATCAAATCTTTTTTACTTTTAACAACACAAGGATTGCCGTTTATTCAGGTGGTAAGTTTGTATATATTTAAATACTGGTCATGCATGTAATGATTATGTTATTACTTGGAATCTTATCATCTGGCGTCCTTTTTATAGTTCCAACCGTTTTTTGTTTTATAAAAACCATGTTTTGTGTTCTCTTGTATTATGATCCAGCTACTCTTATCCCTTAGTAGTCTTAGACACTACTTCACTCGATACGTCTCCAAATCAAAGCACGGTTAAACAAGAACGTAATTATATTCCAAGTAAAAAAAAGTTGAATGGAAGAAGGACGTTAGAATATTTATAAATTTACACAATAAGTTTCTAGAGTTTTCTTCAAGTATCCTTTGGCTCTGATTGGTCTAGAAATAGCCAGTCACCCGGCTCTAACACAATCCTGTACGGAACATTCTTTAATCCAATCTATATCTCACTAATAACATGTATATTCCAAATAAAATATATTGTCTTCTAATATTGTTCGTGTGTACATGCCGACATGATGTTACATGTTAAAAAATGATTTCAAATTATCCCATTTTACGAAAATGGCATATGAGAGAGCAGCATCTAAGGAAATGTAATGTAATTATACTCATATTTAATAACTGAGTGAATTTCTTACTTTTTAGAAAACTTGTTTTCCTGACTAGAAATATATCTTGGTTTTTTTTACCTGAATATTTTGTGTAGATACGTATAATTTTATGATTGCCTTTTTCATCACAGACTGACATCGGAAAAGGCGTTGTAAACTCGAAGGTTATAATTAAAACAAAGTCCTCTGAGTCTCACGTAATGTTCATGATATCACTAAATCACTTTGTCGAGATTCATTGGTCCACAATTTCAACTTAAGCCAGTTTGTGGTATAGCCTAATTCTTGTTCAGCATAGTTGGGTAATTACCGATTTACTGCCGGTTTAGTATATTTCAGATGTCACAGCTTTTCATTGGAACATATTGAAGTTCACTTCTGAGCTTAACCACTATTGCACTAACGATTATATTTTCCTACGTGTTTATTATTCCATGTTTATCGATTCGAGACCACTATCATTCGTTTCTGGAACACAATTTCGGTGAGTTCCCATCACCTGAATCTTACTTGCTATCCGATATACTTAACCGTCTCCTGTCTTCATGCTAGTTGATCGGCATTGTTATCGATATGTAGATGAGTGACAGATCTTTCGTTACTCACTATGTGGCGAATTAACCATTCGTTTGTGGGTGCTTCGTGTAAGATTTTCTACTGAACTAAATTATATAAAACCGATGTGGTAAGTTTTCTTATTTTTAACTTGAGATTTTGTAAAAAGAAGCTCTTTTGGAGACCCAAAACTTTTTCTGGTCACTGATAATCACCTGTAAGTAGTATCATATTCTTTGAAAGAGCCCATACATTGTCGTTTAAGAATGTTATTTAATACATTATTCAATTATTCTCCTTTGTAACGAAACACCCTAGCACCATGATTACCTTCAATTTAGGTTAGTTATTGTGCAGCATTTATTAATCTAATATAGATCAGTATCTTATAGTATTACTTATCATATAAGGTCTATCACATGTATTTTCTATCCCTAACGTTGTTTATTTAACACCAAAGGTAAAATAGGCTTGATTTTCAAACTTTTTTTATTCATTTGTTTTGTTTTTATTCTCTGCGTTATTCCAAAATAGATAAATACAAGTTGGTGCAGCCGACTGTGACTAGTCGTACTAAATTATTAATACGAAATTTTAATTTTGAAGATCAAGGGTTCTATCGATGCGGTCTGTTGGATACGAAGTTAAAGACCGAACGATATGATCGTATAAGTTATCACCTTCTAGTTGATGGTAAGTTCAATAATCACTAGAAAATTGACTATCATTTGTATGCCTTTTATTAAATTTATAGTTTCTTACTAGTGCGTACATTTATATCATACATATCGTAGTTAAAACTTTCACGATCATTTAAACTCATGTAACATGGTACATTTTGATTATTAAAATGGTTCGTTCAGTTCCAGGCAAAGTGCGTTCAATTATTCATAAACTTTGTTTATTTTTGACTAATATTCCATGTTGATTACAATCTGACCATATTTTTTCTGAAACGAGCATTTCAGTCATCATCTTTAATGGAGATTCGGTTATAAATTTTTCACGAGTATCTATAGTAACGTGGATTTTTGTAATTATGAGTGCTAACAGCAACACGATCGTTGGTCTAGTTTATAATGTAAAGGTTAAGTAATTCTGAATGTTTTATTCCCCCTCCCCACACACACTTATTGACTCGTTACGGTTTTATTTCAAGCTGAACTGCTTTTGCTAGTTATAAATATCAACTTTTTAGGTGTGCAGCTATTAAAACAAATTCCTATATTCCGGTCGCATGTTCGAACTTTCCATCTATTTCAGTTTGGGAAACCAAGTGACAGTTTCATCAGTCATTATAACTGAGTTCACAAAGTATAATTAGTCACTTTTTTGGAATAATTTGCTTAGCTCTTTGAATTAGATTGAAATCAGCTTGAATGTAATTTGTCTTTACACTGTTTGCGGTAGGTCTAAGGCAAGTAGACTCAAATAACCATTGAATAATTAATTATTGGTTAGATGAACTAGTCACAATTTTGAACATGATACTTTCAACCAGATTTAAATAGTCAAGTAAAGTCTTCTTAGTTTTATTTTCCAATATCATATTTTGTATATATTATAAAATGACATAGACTTTACAGTTGAAGCAAATTTTATCATCTCTCTATTCACGCCATGTGTAAAGAAATGAATGCCTTTATATATATATATATATATATATATATATATATATATATATATATATATATATAGACTTCCTGGTCAGTCATTATTATATAGATGTTTGTTTTGTCAATCATTTATATTCACTTATGAAAAGAATGTTTAACTATATATGTAGAGTTTTCTAGTTTATTTTCCTATGATGAGGTTTTTTTTGTTTTCACGTGTTTATTTCTTTCTGTTTCGAAAATTCTCATCAATTTCTTTTTCTATTTTATTTTAAATATCAATGTTCAACTTTTGTTTTATTTCATAAACTTTGACTAAATAATAAAACAAAAGTTTATCTAAATCTGTATTTATTTTTACTTATATATAATTTATTATCTTCTATTCATTATACATATTTATGTAATAAAAAGGAGGTTAATTAAAATAATCCATAGTGACATTGAATAAGAAAAAGAGAATTCAGCGAAGAAATGAGGTTGCGTACTAATCAAGAGGTAAGGAAGAAAATCGTTTATAGGTCAGATAATAGTCCAATTGACAGATATGAAGAAAAGCGACAAACACAAAGGTCATAATAATAGACTGAATAATAATCAAGAAAAATTGTATAAAGTAGTAATAATAATAATAATTGATTAGAGTTTAAAATGCAAAATAGTAATTTAAAAGAAAATGCGATAATAATCAAATAAAAGTGCAGAAAAACATGCAAAAAATAACCCAGAAACATACCAATTAAGGGAATTAGAGTTACGGAAGGACTAGAAGTTGGACGAATCACTTCCGCACGCAAAGTTCAGGTTTGAGTTCGTGAATTGCCAGTGCCTCAGCAGTGCATAAAATATTGATTCGACACCTCTTCGATCCAATTCCTTTAACTCTGTAGATCACTTTTAACGAAGAATACTTGGGAGCAGTGTGTCCATAATTGATTATATGCTCCTGTATAGAACTAGTGATTGTCTTACATTCTACTTTTAAAAGCCAAGCCGGATAGTGTTCTGAGATGCGTTTGGAAAGTGATCGATTTGTTCGGCCTATCTAACGAGCCCCACGTAAATTTATAAATACACATTGATGTGGCCCAAAGCGAAAGTTTATCTTTAACACATCCAGGAATGATAGGCCGGTTTGAGAAAACGATTCGGAGCTTGACTGTGTAGAAAGTTTTATTTAATGATTTTGAAATCCGTTTATTTAAGATTTCAGCAGCCGTGTCTCCTTTAAATTCCATATTCATGAGGAGGTTATCGTTACTTATTATCTTGGTTGCTTTTGTGTTATGTTTGCTCAATTTTCACATAATAGATTATATCTGCTTATTTTTTCTATTCTTTAAACTTACAATTTTGTTTATAAATTTCATATGAATTAATTACTTGAATATAATTTTCGTTTGTTGTTTATCCACATAATTTGTGTTTTTCTCATTTTTCTGTATTCATGTGAAAGAAATCTGATTTTCAAATATTCCGAGTTTTTTTTAAAAATCTTTACTCTTTCAGTTAATTTAATTTGAGCGAATCAGTAGAATCACTAGTATTAAAACTACGAATAAAAGTTAAGTACATAAGTTTGTACCACCTGGTAAATAATGTAACTGGTTAATCCTTCCAGAAATGGATAACCATTTTTTTTACTACATGAAGTTATGATATTTAATACTTGAGCCAATTATTGTTGCTTAATAATTTTATCGGTTTTTTTAAAAATCACCAATCACCATCGTATATTACATTTGGATCGAACTCCATTCTCTCATTAGAGTGCTTATACATTTAAAACACAGTTTAGATCAGTTTACAGAAATTCATGTGATAATTTTCCTCTTTAACTGAATTTGCATCATTCCATATTCTTCATATCGTAATAATAATAATAATAATAATAATAATAATAATAATAATAATAATAATAATAATAATAATAATAATAATAATAATAAATTCATACTTACCTGTGGAATTGAGGTATAAACACATATTTATATGCGGTTCGAAACGTTAATCATTGAGACTGCCTTTTGTGTTTCGCACTGTTAAAATCAGGAATTACTTCTTTTTTTTCGAGCTTAATCTTTCATTTGAAACGCGAATTCGGTGGTAGAGAAATAGTTGCATTTAATTTCTACGTTCCCTCTTGATCTTGAATTGTTTCATTTATAACTCTTATCAAATTACATTTCTCATGTTTAGCTTTCCTTTGCATTTAATAGTACTTAGTAATCTTTTTGTTTTTTTCATCTTGTTAA